TCCAGGAAGAAAAAAATCACAGGACCACAAACACCCCCTCCCCAATGAGGTCATTCACTCTGCCTCTCTCCTGATGTGAATTGCTCTTCCAGGCCCCCAAATTCAAGTGCATTCACTGCGAATTCACTGCACTGTTTGGCCCTGGGTTTCTGATGCTGCCACCATTTCTTTCCTTGTAACAGCAGTGTCAAGCTGAAATTTGTCAGAGGGGCTGGCTTCCAGCTCCCCCCAAGGCTGTGGGTGCAGGAGAGGGATAGGAACTGAAACATTTTGCTTTTCTGCAAACCCTTACATTTTCCCCATCCGTCCTAATCTGAATCCCATGTACCTCTTTGAGCAGTGTTCTCATGCTCTCCGCCCAGGCTTTCATTTCAGGCATCTCTCCTATTCAAACACAATGTCTAGCCTTAAAGTATGACTGGCTTTTCCAGTTTCCATCTATAATAAAAATGAGCATGGCTCATCAGCATTAATGATGGCAACCTCTTTTCAGGTTTATGGGTTTATTACTGAAAATTATTGCTGGTTTTATGTGTATAATAAATATCCACACTGGTGTGCACGACCAGGAGAATTTCGGTACTGGCTGGCAGTGAGGGCCATCACTCCTGCGTCTATCCTGCGCACAGCCCAGCACCGCAGGAAACTGGTACGCAGCCCTGGCCCAGCTCCACAAGAAGCTGGTACGCAGCCACGGCTGAGCTATATAGGGAGCTGGTGTGCAGAAACATGCACAAAGGTAGCATGAAGCAATCTGGACATACAAGACCCCGCTGGTCCGTCCCCTCCCTGCCTTTCTAGAAAAAAAAAGAAAAAAAAATATATATGGCAGAAGCCTCTGTGGCAAGTGCTCTGCCACTGGCAGGAGTTTTCAGGCTGGACACTGGAAATGAGATTTGGGAAATACAGCAACAACAAGGGAAAAGAAAGGAGAGCATGTGCTCGCTCATCAATTCCTGATATGAGCAAGGTTGAAGTGAAAAACTTCCTGAAGACCTCCAACAAGCTACTGAAGCATGAATACAGCAGCTAACTGAGAGGCAGAGCTGATTGCCTGCACTGCACTTAGAGGCTTCAGGTTAAAAAAAAACACTGGAGAAACCTCAAAGCGGTATGAAATTATATGGGACACAGGCAGAGAGGGCAAGGAGATGGGAATCTGCGGTGTTAAACCTTAACCACGACAAGCAGTAAAACGTCCAAATGTTAATTTAGAGACCCGAGCTGAAGGGCTTGCACCTTTCTGCCTACTGACACCTTTGCCTGCAGCAAACAGACGTAATCAAATTACGGGAGGCTGTTAAGCACTGGCAATAAACTATCCCGGACATACACTGGGCTGTGGAGTGTTGCTTAATAAACTGTAAAATTTCTTTCACTCTCACCTGTTTTTTGTAGGTTGCCGTTCATTTTCCTTCTCGAAGAGATAGTAAATGCAGGATCAGTTTGTTAGTGTTGCATGCAAATTGTTTACTTACCCTTAGAAATTTTAACTCTCCCTGCCTCCAAATACTCTAGTCTCTCCTTAATTTCTTTGAGAAAAGAACATGTTTTAGAAAGGATAGCTAGTCTGGATTTCATTTTCCTGCTGCATGTGCACGTGCATGCGATACAGTAGTGCTAGAGCAGGTGTTACTCAATGATGTGTTGACACTGAAATTAATGTTTATTCTCAAAGCAGTCATTGTGCACCAGGTTCATTCATTATCCTGGAACAAGGACGGTTTCTTTCTCTAAACTGTCCTGCGGGCACATTTGTGCAGAGCTCTAAGATGTATTCTGTAATAATCAGCAGCCCCAGCGTCTGGCACAACCCAGTTTCAGCCATGGGCACATACCTTTCATTTGAAGCAAACAGGTAAAAATTAATGCTTAAGTCATCTCCTAGGGCTGCCACGCGTCATAGCCAGTAATACAAACACTTAATATTGTAAAATAAAATCAATATTAAGTCCTTTAACAATGCAATGATTTTGTAACATAACTATTAACAACCAGCATGATCTTATTTTTATGTATTCTAAAGTTACGGCAGTCACACTGGAGACACTGAATCATCTTAAATACGTAACCACAGAAATCACTGCTAAGAACTGCAGATACTCCAAGCTGTACAGAGGACTTGGCCGCTTCAGATTCCTGTGTTCCTTTGTCTGTCCTCAGTCCCTCTGTCCGTGACAGTATTTATAGTGTGTGGTCACACGCTGAGGAAACTTGGACGGTATAAAGGCACAAGAATAACTATAAATGAACGACAAATGAGCACCCCGGAGTAGTAACAATAAGAAAACCAGAAGGCTTTTGGAAAGCAGTGCATTTTATTCCCACATCTCATTCTGCAGTCTTCCGCTGACGCTATTAAAATACCTCAGCACGAGGCAATACTTTTATTTTATTGTGCGACGGTCTCTTTTACTGAAAAAGTGGATTGCATTTGCCAAATTCCCATTTTAATTTGGGGAATTTACAGGTAGAAACAGACCACAATATAATCACGTCTCGACTATACATGCAAATGTACAACATCATTACAGCAGCTTTTTTAACAGTCAAAACTGTTAAAATTTCCGTGAGTTTCTACTACTACTTCAACAACAGTAAGCGGCAAGACATTGAACTCTCCCAGGAAAAAGTCCTGCAGCCAGAGTCCATGGGGAGAGCTTTCTACGGCACGTGCCAAACACGGAGCGTACGCTACAGGATCTAGGACTGGTGTCCAGGTGGTAAAAAGATCCACATTTCTTGTGGTCAGAAAACACTGAGCACAATGAGGACAGATCAGAAATGTGGGTTTCTCTTCAGCCATCTGTACGATTACAATGCAGTTCAATACCGTAACGAGTTCAGTAATACAGCAACTATAAGTCATAGGCACCAACTTCTTTAGGATGCATTTGAAAAAGTAACAAAACCCCTATTATATTAGCCTTAAACAATAAATAGTGCTTTTTTTTTCTTTTTGCAAAAGATGCTGTATAGAGCTTGAGCAGAAAGTAAACATTGTATTTCAGCATATAGCCGGAACCTCTCGATATTCACAAGCTATATATAACATGTGATGGACAGATCTCCATGCCCCGTCCCCCACCTCAGCAGCTACAAGCTTTTAGCCTTAATGTCTTTATAGCCGTCTCTTTCAAAATTCAGGGGTGATGCCAGGTCACCAACTTCTGCACTCACTCAAAAAACATACTGTCACACCCGATGCCTCTGCCTGCATTTATTGACAAGAATCTAACGCTCCCCCAGAGATCAGTTTTGCGAATATTCCCTGCAGGGTAAACTGCTCATTTCGAATTTCAGTGCTGAACGTGCTGTGAGGCTAATGCTGCCTGCTTGGCTTGAGAAGGCATTGGGCTAGGCACTGCTTAATTAGGGCTGTGGGAATAATCGATTTTCAGTTCAGTGGCTAAAAAACTAAAAATAATAACAATAATAACAACCACAACAATAAACAACTTGGTTCATTTCTTTCAGGAGACGGTAACAACTCGTTTCAGCCTGTGGTCAAGATGGTCCAATGGCTGGGGCACCCTTTCAGGATGAGGAAGACTCAAGAGTCAAATTTTTTCTCTACCTGGTTCTGAGTAAAGGCTTGACCCAAGGACCCCCACCTACCAAAAGGGTACCCTCAGGCTAAGAAATACTCTAACTCTTGTTTCCCCAGTCTTTCCCACGGTAGTGGTACCAAATATTAGCATGCTCAGTAGAGGCCCTGCTGGAGGGCATGCTTCCCACTTCCCACAGGAGCACTGGAGCAGCCAGGGTGGAGAAGCAGCTCTGCCCCTCACAGCCCATGAGGACAGGGGGCACAGGGGAGCAGCTTCCACCAAAGCCACAGGGCAACTCCCTGCTTGTCTGCCTGCGCTTTCTTCCACTGGACACCACGGCGTGGGGACAGTGAGGGCTAATACACGTGGCGGAAGCCATGTCCCAGCACGTGGCCAGAATGTAGCAAAACCATCCTGCGAAAGCACCCCTGGGAAGCCCAGAGAGATGGTGTCCCAAGTTCTGCTATCAGCATGTACTTCTGAGTGAGGGAGATGGAGAGGACACCCAGGTTCCAGTTCAGGCTCTGATTCACCCGACTTCAGGGTACGAGGAGAGGATAGCACAAGGCACATACTTTTTCCTTAATATTTTTATAGCACTCCCAAATCAAACCAATACATACCAACATTTCCAAACTCTTTTATTTGGGTCAAGCTAATATTCCCAATGCTACATGTAGTTAAAGCTCATAGAAGAACATCCTTCTTTTGCTAACCAAAGCTCAGAAGTTCAGATCTGGTTCTGCTCTCATGTACACCACTGCAAGACAAAAGTATTTCTACTGAAGAACGCAAACCAAAACAATGCAAACCAGGTCCAAGGCCCAGCCTGGCCACAGAATCAGGGAAAGTTTCAATTCTTCAGTTAAGAGGGTGATTTTACACCAATATAACTGAAGTGCCACAACCTCCAGCTCTGTTAAAATTGTATTGACACAGAGGAGCACATAAAAGTACAGTTAATAGGAGCTTATATATTGTAGGAATATATTTATATAGAGTAACTATAATTGGATGGATACAGATACGGAAGCACATCAACGGAGCCTCCAAATGGTGTTAAAATGACAAGGCTCCAGACACAAGCTAAGCTACAGGCCACCACTGTGTCACTGGCACTGCTGACTAACTCAATGGTAGTGATGTCTCTCATAGCCCAGGCCGCTGGGCAAACACCCCCTGACTCCCCATTACCCAACTCTCTCTGTGTCCACAGCAGAGGACTCGGCACCTTTAGCTGTGGTGGGTCTAAACTGATGTACTGAAAGCAGCTGAAAGCAAGCCCGAAGCATGAGCAAACTCTGACCTTTTGCTTTTTTGACAATGAGGTAAAGTCGTCCTACATGATTTGGATTTGTCAGCATTGATGTGGAAATGTATGCTCTGCCTTTCCCCCTGTACAGAGAACCAGGTGTCTGTCCTCAAGCAATAGGTTTTCCAACTTGCTTTCTAAGGGTTTGGTAGCTCTTCATTTTCTATCAAGTAATCCTTCTTTATATAATTAGCACCCCTCACCAACCTCCATACTCCAAGATAGGCATCCTTCAGCGAGCTCCTGTTCACTTCTTGTGTGCCGGTGGCTTTTCCCTGGACCACTGGTCCCTTGGCAGGTTTCTCAGTGCCATCCTTCTTTTCATCTCTGCTCTGGCTGTCCCCCGCGGCTGATCCTTCCACTGCTGCTTCCTCAGCCCCCTTCTCCTGGGAAATTGCCTCCATCGCAAACAGTGCTTGGTCCCCAGCCTGCCTTTTCCCCTCCTCTTCTCTAGCTTCTTTCTCCAGGTCCTCGTAATTGCTCTGCCGTCTGGTCTCAATGTACTTGGCCACACAGTAAATGACAGACCCCAAGGTGTTGACCACAACACCAGCTATGAATAACTTTGTGGGCTCCACATCATTGAACGCCACCATGCCCACTGTGATGGTTGCTATGCTCTTCACCACCCCTACGAAGCTGGTGGTCACAGCCGAGTTAATGTAAGTGCAATGAAGGGTGGTAAAGTTCATGGCACAGCTAATCAGGACACAAGCGATAAAGATGCATACCATGGCAGGGTCCTTCCACCCCGGGAAAGACCACACGTTGATGGAATCCATGCTGGCAAAGGAGCAGATGATGAGAAAAGGGGTGGCCGAAACAGCGATGGCATACTGAGCTGTCAGGGGTCCGTATTCACTATCTACACTGGTCTTCTGAATGAGCACCAGGTAGGCAGCGTGTATCAGCACAGCCAGCACGCCTGTCACATAGCCCATAGCATCCCCGGTCAGGTCACCAGCTCCTGCCGGGAGAGTCACAGAAAGCAACAAGCACGGTTTTTGCATGCGAAACAGAATGCATTTTGGGCTGCGGGGGTGTTTAGGAACTAGGCACCAGTGCACTCTCCATAACTCCTAGGAATTGTCATGCTTGTCCCAAGGCTGGACACACTTACCTCCCAACAGATATATCTTTTGGGGTTTTTTCGTCATGCTGCAAACCTATTGAACGTCTTTCACCCTCCCGCTAAATCCCGCAGCCAAAATCAGATTGCATTCGCCCTTTGGTGAAGACACTACGGGAGATTTGCAGCTGAAACCGCACGTACATGCAGCAACTCTGGGAATCTTTTTGCCAGCGCGGGTGCATGTCAGCTCCGGCTGGCCAGACTGCCTGCCCTCCAGCCCCGGGCCCTCCTTCTGCCCCCCTCCTCCCCCCAGCAAGGCCAGGCCGTGGGGGGGCCCCGCAGCAAGAGCCTCCCCGCCGAAACCCCTCTCAGGCTCCTGTGCAGATTAAACTACTTGCCACGTGTGTGTGCTTCGTTCCCAGGGGCAGCCCCCAACCTAGGAGTGTTGCCGGGCCACACCGACCCAGCTTCGCCTCCCTCCCACCTACTGGAAATCATCACGGGTGGGGCCCACAGGGTTGCAGCTGACCCTGTAAGGATGCAGCAGGGCTGCAGCGGCCCCCCAGAAGATTACATCTGCCCCTCTAAGGTTGCACCCCCTCCATAAAAGCCTCCCCCCTATAGGGCTGCACCTTCCCTAGTAGGGCTGCAGTAAGGTTGCACCTCTATCCACACGGCTGCACCGACCCCCGTAAGGACGCCCCGATCTC